TAGACCAAGCAAAGCAGGAACTTAGTGAGGGTGGGAACACAGGGCTCCTGACAACAGTCAGCCTAGTGTTTCCAGCAGGGGGACAGCCCAGAGCCCATGCGCCAAGGACTCAAGCAGGGGTATCTGGAGAAAAGAGAGTGGGCAGGCAGGTCAGCAACAGAAAGAGCCATGTTGCATGGTCTGGGTTCCCTCCTGCTGAGAACTAGGCCACCGAGGACCCCATTCTCCCCTGGCACAGGAAACCCCAGCCCCTTTTCTTCAGAGCCCCAAGGGGAAATTGGAGCCCAGCATTGGCAGCGTGGAACCAGGGGACCCCACTGGACTCTTACCAATTCCTGCACCACACTTGTTAGGTAGTTTTTGACTGCGTAGGTGGAGTCCAGGGCTGCCTCCAAAACTAGGCACTGGCTCTGCAGCACATGAAGAGAGGAGGAGTTGGAGGAGGGTCGGGGGAGAGGTAGAGAGAGCGATCATTAGGGGTGGGGGTGGTGGCTGTTTCAGTTGGCAGCGGGGCCCTCAGGCCCCAGCATGGGAGGTGGTTGGGGGGCTGGCCTGGAGGGCACTTACCTCCAGCTCCTTTGTGTAAGTTGACGTCCTCAAGGCCTCCCCACCGATGGATGATGGGGGCTAGAAGAGATGAGAGCACACATGGAGACGCTCTGCCCCTCAATGCCTAAGCCCTCTGCTGTCCTTTTTTCCTAACCTGGACAAGGCCCTCCTCCTGTAGCCCCTCTGTGCCCACTTCTCAAGGTCTCACTTCCCCATCATCCATCCCCTCCTGAGCAGCTCTTATCTGGCAATTTTTTTTTTTTTTTTTTTGGGGGGGGCCAGTACAGGGATTGAGCCCTGGGCCTTGGTGTTATCAACATCATCCTGTGCTTTCCTGCAGCAGGATCCAATGAGACAGCCAAGCTCATGGTCCATCTTTGTGTGCACAGCTTCAAGGGAGAAGCTCAGAGAAGAGTCCTCTGTCATATCCCGAGCAGAGGGAGACGTAGGATTCAAGCCCAGACTTCTTACCCAGTCCCTGACACTTCTTCCACGATCATTACCATTACCCCCTACTGCTCCTGGAGCCCCCTGTTCCCAGGAGCCTGATCAGCCAAGGCTCACCTCCTGAGGTGACTGGCAATCCCCAGTGGTGGGCTGGGGCCTACTGCCAGTTTGGACGGGTTTTTCTTCAGTGGTAGCAGCTAGCCTCTTTTGCCGCTGGTATTCTCTTAACTGTTGAAAGGACAAGCAGTAATATTCAGGAGATGTGTAAGCCCCTATATTTGTCCCCTACTTTACAGTGTTTACAGAGTATTCTTACTCGTACCGTCTGATTTAATGCCACCAGCAACCCTATAAGGTGTTGTAATGATCACCAAATGGCTGAAGAAATGGACCGATGGCATGATTAGAAAAAGGCAATAATGGAATTGAACTTCAGTCTTCTGGGGCTTGGTCATGAATCAGCAGCTGCCGGGGGGACAAATACAAATCAGACATTGGGGCCCTCCCTCACAGAGCTTTGTGAGCTGCACCGCAGCACTTCTCAAACGTTTATGTTAATGGATCCTAATGGCAGAAGTCATGAGGACATGCCCCTAGGGATCTGGGGACCTAACAAAAAGAGGACAATCCAAGCATCATTTCAGAGAGAAGTCCATTATGATCTTACAGATCCAGGCGAATGTCACCACCAAGTATATGAAGAATTTTTTTCTCAAAAGAAACAAGCAAATCTGATGCTTCAGAAAGAGGCCCCCTGTGAGGCCTGTGGCACCCCAGATTGACATGATCTGGGCAAAATTCAACCCAGGCAGTAATGACAGTTCCTGAGGGATTGTGACACTCCCCAGGAGGATTGGGACAGTTTGGAATGGGATTGTGAGGTGACTACATTCCGCTCCTTCCTACCAATGCCACAGTCACTGCAACACTGGGGGGGAAGGGGAGCATAGAGCCAGGACCGAGGTCCTTGGAGACAGGAACCCAGGGGACCCAGGGAGCCCAGGAAGGTCTGGTTTGGGGTGGCAGGAGGCCAGGGCTGAGTCCAGGTGGGGAGCCCTGGAAGTAAAGGCCAAAGTCACCTGGGGACAGCTGGCAAGGGCAGGGTCTGGGCAGCTGAGGGGGCAGGGATGGCTGAGGAGACTTTGGTGGAGGGAGTCAAGAGGCACAGAGGGGCAATCTCCATGTACCTCAGATGTGACACGGAGTCCTGCCCCTGTCCCACCATAGGAGGGGCCTCGGGCTGGCTCCAGTGCTGCGACCCAGCATGTTTTACCTTCTTCTTGTTCCTAGCCAATTTCTCCTGTCGGATTTCCTCCGACATTTTGGGGCAGGGAAAATGAAAGGGGCACCGCCGCCTCATCACCGTCCGAGCACTGGATAACCACTCCTTCCAGCTAAGGTGTGGATCAGCAACTGAGCCAGAGCAGCTGGGTGCGGCCAGTGCTAGGCAACAGACAAGTGGGCGTGGCCTCAATGCTCACAGCCCATTGGTGGATGAGAAAGATGGAATGAATGGGGACGTGGCCAGAACCCAGGGAAGGGTGGAGTCACAATGAATGCCGGCCCGCCCACCCCAGGGAGGGGCCCCTGGGGGGAAGGGGCGGGGCTCTCACTTGGTGCCCAGGCACCTTCTGTGTGACCTTTCACGGTGGTCATCACAGAATCTGAGGCACGTGGCAGAGCAGAGAGGCCCGTTCTCCAGCTCCTGCCCTGGACCCTCCTGTGTCGGTTCACCCCTGACCTGGGGTGTTANCTTTGGGGTAGCAGGAGGCCAGGGCTGAGTCCAGGTGGGGAGCCCTGGAAGTAGCCTTACAAGCCAAAGTCACCCGGGGACAGCTGGCAAGGGCAGGGTCTGGGTCGCTGAGGGGGCAGGGAAGGCTGAGAAGACTTTGATGGGGGGAGTCAAGAGGCACAGAGGGGCAATCTCCATGTGCCTCAGAAGTGACACCGAGTCCTGCCCCTATCCCACCATAGGAGGGGCCTCAGGCTGGCTCCGGGGCTGCGACCCAGTATGTTATACCTTCTTCTTGGCCCTAGCCAATTTCTCCTGACGGACTTCCTCTGACATTTCGNGGGCAGGAGCGCCGCCGCGCTTCCCAAGCGGTGCACTATCCAGTGCACCACCGGGCCGGCCCAGAATCCTAGGGAATTCTAAGGTGAGATCCAGACTCAGAAATAAACTGTTAAGTGTCTCTAGAGAGGAGAAACCCAGGAAAAAAGCAAACCAAACCCATTCTCCCAATTGTCACCCAGAGATATTTTCATCATTTTGAGCTCACTGGTGAAGTGCAGGCTTTCTAGGTAGGCAATGTCTAAGTTAAGGGGGCGAGGGAGCCAGAAACCTCCCAGGCAGTAATGACGGTTCCTGAGGGATTGTGACACTTCTCAGGGGGATTGGGACTGTTTGGAATGGGATTGTGAGGTGACTACATTCCACTCCTTCCTACCAAGGCCACAGTCACTGCAACACTGTGCGGAAGGGGAGCCCAGAGCCAGGACCGAGGTCCTTGGAGACGGGAACCCAGGGGACCCAGGGAGTCCAGGAAAGGTCTGGTTTGGGGTAGCAGGAGGCCAGGGCTGAGTCCAGGTGGGGAGCCCTGGAAGTAGCCTTACAGGCCAAAGTCACCCGGGGACAGCTGGCAAGGGCAGGGTCTGGGCTGCTGAGGGGGCAGGGATGGCTGAGAAGACTTTGGTGGGGGGAGTCAGGAGGCACAGAGGGGCAATCTCCATGTGCCTCAGAAGTGACACCGAGTCCTGCCCCTGTCCCACCATAGGAGGGGCCTCGGGCTGGCTCCGGGGCTGCGACCCAACATGTTATACCTTCTTCTTGGCCCTAGCCAATTTCTCCTGACGGACTTCCTCTGGCATTTCGGGGCAGGGAAAAGGAAAGGGGTACCGTCGCCTCATCGCCTTCCCAGCACTGGACATCACTCCCTTCAGCTAAGGCGCCAGTGGGCAACTGAGCCAGAGCAGCTGGGAGCGGCTGGTGCTAGGCAACAGGGAAGTGGGCGTGGCCTCAATGCTCACAGCCCATTGGTGGATGAGAAAGATGGAAGGAATGGGGGCGTGGCCAGAACCCAGGGAAGGGTTGAGTCACAATGAAAGCTGGCCCCGCCCACCCCAAGGAGGGGCCCCTGGGGGAAAGGGGCGGGGCTCTCACTTGGTGCCCATGCAGCTTCTGTGTGACCCTTCATGGTGGTCGTCACAGAATCTGAGGCACCTGGCAGAGCAGAGAGGCTGTTCTCCAGCACCCACCCTGGACCCTCCTGTGCCAGTTCACTCCTGACCTGGGGCCTCAGGAGGTGGGTGAGGAATAGACAACAGGGAAAAGTGTGTCACTTCAGAGTCCCTTTCCAGACTCCTCACAGCTCTGCCCCAGACTTCCTCATCCCAGAAAAAGCCTCCAAAGACCCCCGTGCAGTCCTCCAGATGCTTCTCCACTCGCCCCCTTCCTCAATGGTGTCTTCAGTGCACCGGGCGACTCCCAGTGAAACTCCTTTCATCCTGGGGTGACTGGAGCTTGGCATTTGCAAGAAGGGTTGTCCCAGAGGGCCAACAGCAGGCCCAGCTAGACCTCCTGCATCCCCATTCACGGGCCCCCCGGGTGCTCCTCAGCCCCGGGAGTGGCCAGGAGGGTTGTCTCCCGCAGCATGACCAGCACATGCTGGCCTTCTGGCAGGTCCATAGGATCCTGGGCATGGGCCCTCTGCCACCGTCCAGGAGTAGGCCTGGGACCCACTTCTGCAAGCGGCCCCAAACCCAGCGTGCTCCAAACAGACCACCACCCACCTGCCAGCTCCAAAGCCTGGGGAGGGCCACAGGGCCAGGCAGACCATGGTGCGCCACCACCTAGACACATCTGTGACCCCGCAGTCTAACCCTGACCCCAGAGACCCCAACCCACCGCACCCCATTCCACTGAATGCCTTCTACAGAGAGGAGATGCTTTGTGACTGTCATTAAGTCCTGGATTTTGCCATTCACCCACCCTCCCTGATGTAGGTCTTGGCCAGGCTGGGGCAGGGGGTCCCGGTGCCCTCCCTTGTAGGCGCAGGGTCCAGGACGGGCAGGCACCTCCTGGCACAGGTGGACATGGTGGACCCCTGCCTGCCCCTCGCTGCATCTCGCCCTAATCTCTCCCTTTGTCAGGAGGTTTTCTTGACAAAGAAAAGTCCATCCTTGGACAGACATGATCTGTGGTTACTCGAGTCATTCTGTTCCATTTTTACATGTTTCAAGGACACCCGTGTGTGGCCAGCATCTGGATGTCTTTGTAGAGCTACCTGGAATTGGAGGTGTGGGGAATCCAGGAGATCTGCTTGTCCACTGGCACTCCTTCACTCGGGGGGGGGGGCAGGTGACCCTGGACACTGAGCCCTCTGCCTCCTTCTGGTCCTGGGTAGGGGGGTCCTACCAGCAGGCCTCACTCCCGGAGGTTCTGCAGCCTGAGCACTGGCAGAGAGGGGGTCCGAGGGGTCAGGGCTGCCCAGTAGCTGCTCCCCAGGTATGGGCACTCTCAGGCCATCCCCACACAGGGGTCCCCTGTGGGCACAGAGAAATCTGGCCGAGAAGCACTGTCTCAATGAATCCCACAACCCAGGATTTAGCCTCACTGCCCAGGACCATCCCTGGGCTGTTCCAGGAGATTTGTGGCCACCCACACACAGCGAGAGAGTCAGGAGGCCCCCGAAGGCTTCCCGGAGGAGGGGGTGGCAAGGCTGAGCTTGCACCTCCCCCACAGTGTCCCCAAAGTCTCATGGCAAACCTCATAGAGTGAAAGGGGTACAGATTGACATGTGCTGGGTCACAGTGTGGGGGGGTGGAGATTGAGGGGGTGGGCAGGGACAGGGTTGCTGTGGCCCTGGCACCTGTCATGGGCACAGAGCATGGGCTGATTGCAGAGGGATTGGGACAGGGACAACACTGGGACCCCCTTCTCAGGCACGGCCAAAACATTTCTTTCAGGCAGGCACATTATCTATCAAAATAGGAAACAGCTTCCTGGGGCCTGACCGCTCAGATCCCCCAGGTGGGCAGGCCACTCTTTTCTGCCATGGGGCCCCTTCCTGGTGGAGGGGGCACCCCTACAACACTGACAGGCAGAGCCAGCCACTCAGCTGGTCCCGGCCACAGCCACAGACTGGGCATGGGGACGGACGGGTGCAGGTCCCTCTGCCCCACCTCCTCCCCACACGGTCTCTCTCCTGCTCTCCCCCATTCTCTGCGCCTCATGCAGGGGAACTCCCCAAATTCCCTAAACCCTCAGCCCCCACACACGGCCACTCACCCAGCAGCTGCCCAGGCTGGCCACCGCCACCACCACCAGGGAGTCCTCCTGGATCCGTTTGCAGTTGCAGCCGATCCATCTAGAAATCCTGTCACTTCCACTACTGTTCTCTCCATCCCCAGCGGCGTTCGCTGCTCACACCCTCGAGAGGCCCCACTGCCCTGCGTGTAAAGCCCCAGATCCAAACCTGGCCCCACAAGAACCAGTCTGCGGGCCAGTTACTCAGGTGGCCAGAGTGTGGT